CCCCCCCCCCCCCCCCCCCCCCACAACCCATTTCCAGAAGGGCCCGTCCCAGCCGCAATTGATCTAGACTACAGGTTTGAAACCAGACCAGGCTGGCTGGTACATTGGTTGACCTTCCTTTAGTGGAGAGATAAAAACATTTTTGATACCTCCTAGGGATAAAAGACATGGAGCCAAAGAGGATATTTCATGTATAACCCTGCATAATCTCGATTTCCTACTTCTGCAACTATAGGTTTCATTTTTACCCAAGCTGGGAACGGTCACACTTTCTAAAGGCCTGCCCAGCCAGATAAGCAAGAGCATCCTTTTCCTCTCTGGTGCTTTTAAGCCCCACCCAAACATGCAAGTGCCATCTAAAACACAGCTCGTTTTACCCGTCGAGTTCGGAATGTTAAGGAATAAAGAGTATTATCAATCTTAAATTCTCAAAATTAAAAGCAATGAGAACCAAAACATACCAAACTGTTGCAGTTGANTTAAAAGCAATGAGAACCAAAACATACCAAACTGTTGCAGTTGATGCAGCTCCTATTCTCTGGAAGCTTCAATAGATCACGAATGATCCTTTCAATTCTCTCTTCTTCCTTCACTCGGTGCGGCATTTTATCATCCAATTTAAGCTCTACCTGCCTTATAACATACATATATAAAAGAACAGCATAAGAATAATAACCCGTGAAAATATGTAAAAACTTTTACATAGAATTGCTTATAGCATTGCCATGTCCTTCAATAATGAAACTAATTTGACATATTCTTTAAATTGTTACATGGGCATTATCATTAACAGCATGGGTTTTCAAATAACCTTACAAAATTGAAATAATTAGAATTAGAAATAACTTTTTTAAGTACATTTAAAAATTTTCTTCTTCTGTCCATTACCTTTTCTTTCTCGAGATTTCTTGGCATGAAAGAGAAATTTCTAAATTTTTTGGCTGATGGATTAATGAAGCAGAGGGAGGTTGATTTTCAATTTTTCATGGTGGGGTTTTGACGTTAGAGAGAAAAAGTTGTAAGGAAGAGTTTTTGCTGGCATTTTGGCTGGAGAAAGAAGATAGGTAAGGAGGGAATTTTGGCGGTTTTGACGGTTGGCGACTATTATTTTTAGAAAATAAGAAGAAATAAAAAATGCAACTGGAAAATTGAGTCAACTCATGCACCGCTCGACTCATAAAATTTCACTTCTTTTATGGGAAAATTGTGGCCACGGTCCCAAACCTTTCATTTTGTTGCAGATTACACCAAAACCTTTAATTTTTGCAGTTGAAGTCCCAAACCTTTCATGTAATTGCAACATCAGTCCCAAACCTTTAATTTTTGCAACAGAAGTCTCAAATCTTTGTATGTAATTGAAGCGTTGGTCCCAAATCTTTATATGTAATTGCAGTATCGGTCCCAAATCTTGAATTCCGTCCATAAAACCGTTAGTCAATGTTCAAACAGTATTTTTGACTCGAAAAATTTGCAGCTCCAGTCCCAAACCTTTTATTTTGTTACATATTACACCCAAATCTTTCATTTTTACGGCCAAAGTCCCAAACATTTATATGTAATTGCAGCGTTGGTCCATTTCACGCATTCTGTCCATAAAATCGTCCGTCAACGTTGAAACAATATTTTTGGCTCAAATGACAACTTAGCCCCTGTTTGACACTCATTTTGTTTGAAAAAATAATTTTTGGAATAGTGATTGATGGGAAGATTGTGTGATTAAAAAGTAAGGAGAATTTTTTTATTTATGTATAATATTATTTTATTAATAGAATGTGTGGTTGAAATGAAGAAAAAGAAATATATTGAGAAAAAAATGGGTGTCAAACATGGGCTTAATTGATGAGCAAAATTCTCAAAACAAGTTATAAAAAAATGTTTATCTTCTTCAAATCCTTCAATTTTTTCACAGTCATCACATTCTCATCGTCGATAACTATCAAATCAAATAACAATTCGATCCGATTTGTTATAATAATCGAATCGATAAATTATTTTTATGACATGTTATTTGGACGGAATGCGTGAAATGGACCAACGCTGCAATTACATATAAAGGTATGGGACTTCGGCCACAAAAATGAAAGGTTTGGGTGTAATTTGCAATAAAATAAAAGGTTTGGGATTGGAGCTGCAATTTTTTGGAGTCAAAATTACTGTTTGACCGCTGACTAACGGTTTTATGGACGGAATTCAAAATTTGGGACCGACGCTGCAATTACATACAAATGTTTAGGACCGACTCTGCAATTACATACAAAGGTTTTGAACTTCGACTGCAAAAATTAAAGATTGGGGACCGACGCTGCAATTACATAAAATATTTGGGACCGAAGCTGCAATTACATATAAAGGTTTGGGACTTCGGCTGCAAAAATTAAAGGCTTGGGTATAATCTGCAACAAAATGAAAGGTTTGGGACCGCGGCCGCAATTTTTCCCTTCTTTTATACGTGGATCTTAAGCTAACACCACATCAAACGTAGATGTAGATGTTGCTGATACGAGTGAGAATTTATAACTGCAACGAGTAAACTAGTTTTAACTGTATTTCATAAAATTATTATTTTTGTTACAGATCATAATATACAAGTATGCCAATTTATAATTTACATCCGAAATAATTGATGGGAACTCGGTTACTTCAATACCATCAATTTTCTTATTATTCTTTGTTCAACCTTCCTCCAACGCTCACTTTTTTGGGCCAGGATCTATAAGTGGATAGTTATGTCATATGTACAAAATTGGGTTACAAAGTAATACTAAGTATTTAGAGTTATGCTACATGTACAAAGTTTGGTTACAAAGTTGGCTGACAAAAAAACATCTACACCAATCATTTTAAAAACAGATTTTTAAATCATTTGAAATCAGCGGTCTGAATTTTGCCAACACACTTTGTAACTCAACTTTGTCCAAATAGATTTATTGATAAGTGGAAGTCAAAAAAAGATGCAGCTTTCATGAATTGTGAAGGAAAATTTAATATAAAAATAAATGAGTTAATTGATTTAAAAGTAATTACCAAGAAAACGACTTACTCTTCGCTAACTAAAAATATTATTTATTACACAACTTTATTAGCTTATAGTAAAACTTTTTGAGTTTACAAAATGAATTAGTCTATGTATACACCTTGTGGTGTGCCCCCCTCCATGTGAGGGATGTGTGAAACATTGTGTACACATAGCACTTCCCTTAACAAATATGCACTATTACTGAGAATTTGTGCAACAAGCAAATACTTAGGAATCGGGACAGGATGGGATAGAACACAATCCTCACTTCAATCTTATTTTTTCTTTTATTTTTATAATTTTAATTTTAAATTATATTTTTAAAATAAAAAATAATAGCAACTAGTAAATAGGACAATAAATGAAAATATTTTAATCTGCAGACCCCAAGGACGGAGAGAGCCACCCTAAGCAGTTCGAAGTTTTAGTTTGTTTTTGCTACCCTTTTCGCATCATCAGTCTTTTTTAGTGGACAAAACATAAAAAAGTGCTTATGTAATAGTGTCACGACCTCTGGGTCATGTTACCTCGACTGAATCGTGGAGTTGTAATTTTTGGAGCATATATTGATAAGTTGAATCAGATTGAATTGAACTCGTCAAAATTAGAAAAGAGAAGTCAAAAAAATATCAAGTTCAACCCACCATACATGTATCATCTTCATTTTGTTAAAAGATCACAATATCGAGCCGACAAAACAGCAGGTCTAAAGGGGAAAAAGTATACAAAACGGATGAATCACAAAGAATGAGTGTCAAGGGCAAGGACTTTGTCAAGTAAAACAGGATTGCAGCAAAAGATTACTGGATGAACCAGAAGGGCATTGGCTGATTTTTGTTTAGAAAATGATCCTTCAAAAGATGGCAAGAAGATATTGGGTTCCTAGTCGATTTCCTCGTCTAAACACAGTCCAGTAATGCACAAAAAGGATTTCTAAGTTAGAAAATGGCATGGTTTTCCTAGCGTGCCAGATGAAGGAAAGCTCCAGAATATCCAGAGCCGAAGATAGTGCAAGGCATGTTGTATTGGAAGGTCATCTCTCAAAGTCAAGCATTTCTTCAGTAGTTTCTCAATTGCTCGGAACAGTAAAAAGCAATTTTGAACCAAACACTCATCACAGTTCAAAGACTAATCAAATCAAGGGAAAATTGCAGCTGGGATCCCACACCTTTTAGTTAGTTGAAAACTATACTCAAAACCTTTCATTTTTGTATCCAAGGTTCCAAACCTTTCATTTCAATTGCAGCTGGAGAACAAATGGACAAAATCCATCCATTCCTCAATTAGTTGACCAAGGAATTAAAATTTTAGACTCAATCTGACCAATTAAGTGAAGAGTAAAATGAATCATGTCAATGGACTTTCGGAGGGAAGTGGGAATAGTGATAAGACCATGTTACTCTTCATTTAATCAGTCACATTGAGTCAATTTTAATTTTTTTGGTCAATTAACAAAGGAATGGACGGATTCCATACATTTGTCCTCTACCTGCCATTAAAATGAATGGTTTGGGACTGTGAGTGCAAAAATGAAAATTTTGGGCATAATCTGCAACTAATTGAAAGGTTTGGGATCCATGTGCTATTTCCCCTAAAATTAACATAAAAACTAGCGAACAAGTCTCAATCATCATTGCCAACTTCACAATAACCCCCACCTAATCTTTGGAAGGGGTCATCAACATGATTCTTAATACCACAACAAGCTTATACAAAGAGATCCGTACGCATCTTGGAACAGTTGATCATGACCAAAATAATGTGATCTAATCTTTAACAATAATCATGAAGAATTTGAGGAAAAATTACCTGCAGCATATCACTTCCTCAAATTTCCTGTAAATACATGGTTTTGCTGAAAAGCTCAATTTCAAACTCACAAACTGATTCCAAGAGATGTATATTATTTGGGTTCATTACTCTACTAATATGGAACACTAAACCTAAGGTTGAATGGTAGAGCAGAGCAAAAGGAGAACAAAAAAAGGCAAATAAAGTTTTCTGTACAGCGCTTGACAGCAAAATTTCCGCACGCCCTTGCTGGCAAAAGTACCGTAGAAGTTGCATCTGACTGAAAAATTGAAATCGACTCCTTCCAGAAAAGTGGATAAAAAGGCTAGAAACCAGGGCTGCTGGAATAACGACAACTGGTTTTGCTGGGGAAAAGCACCATCTGGATTGGCAGAAGCCAACATTTACTGCACTAACTGCTCTAGCCAATACTGGCTGCTATAGACAAAGATGGCAGTCAAACGTCTCGGAAAAAACAGGGGCCACTCAAAATAGTCATGCAACTTCGATAAGCTATTTATAATTACATAATCACACCAATCAATTTAACCACTGCCATTTGAGTTTGAAGCAGCTTTGATTGCATCTGCTGTCATTAAAGCAACTACTGCTCTGTGGATAGCTAAATCTGCTCTGTAAAGCAATCTCTGGGCCTTCTCCCTCTTGAGTTTAGCCATATTACGCGCATGCTGCGCAGCACCTGACGAATCACGCAATCGGAACTCATGAAGATCTGATCCGTCCAACTGCTCAACCGCAAGCCTGTGGTGTCCATCAAAATAGTAGGGCTTCTGACTTGACCACTCGGGTAAACCCGTGTTCAGCTGTGGAACCCCATTTGTGTTCCATGTTCTCTTGTTGTAAGAGGCCATTGTGTGCTGATTATTATAAGATGAATATAATCCATGCTTCTTCAGTTTGTTGTTATAAAATTTGGTTTGACGATTCCACTCAGACGCATCGGTGTTCAATAAGAAATTTCCTAGTCCACCAGCATCTCTTGGAGACAGTACCCGAGTTGAAGCCTGTAACAATGGTGAAGCATCAGCAGAATCATATACATTGACTGGATATAACCCCTTCTGATCTCCAAAAGCAAACCCCGTAG